AGCTCGTTGGGCGCCATGTTAGGCGACGCAGGCGATCCTGCTTCCGAGATTACGGCGGGCGGGTTGCGGTCGAGGTTTGTGGCGGGTGTTGACTGAGCCTTTGACTGCGATACGCGTAGATGTCCGGGAGTTCGCGACAATGGCCGCTACGCTAAGTGTTGGCCCGTGCGGCTAAAACTGGGGCGCCTGGTTCCGCGCTTCACTAAACGTCACTGCGACCCACTTCACAGACTGAGGATGTGAGATACATGAGCAGCCAACAAACTTCAGCGTGTTTCCAGTTACAGCGAAATGTGGATGACTCCAGTTTGCCCTCGTCAACAGCCACTTAAGAGGACCCCCACCATCTCGCGACACACGATCCAGAAAGCAGTGGTCAACACAAACATCCAGGCCATTCCATTCTACAAGATTAGAACGAGCCGAATGGTACTATAGCTACGTCTACTAACCTTCATCAGTATGTGTCCCCAAAGCGGACTCATTCTCTTTCAGACCAGTCAAGTCTCCTTGCACGTCACACTACGCAACTACATCTCTAATCTGACTATAGATTAATACCGAGCAACAATGCGATTCTCAGATAGACGCGCGTGTCAGCGGGTACAATGCCTTTGTTACATTCAGTCAAGTTCGTTCTAGCAGAGTCATAACCAATAGTACGGACAAACTAGTTTCGTGTCCCGCCGTTTCTTTCTCTCGAGAAAGTCATACTTTATGACACATTAAGTAACACAGGAGCAATATCACAGTAGCTGGGCTCAGGAGATGCTCCTACCCGTCCTCTGACTGCGGCTCTTCGAAGGCTCTCTTATTAGTGATGACTCTATGAGAGAGTCTAAAAGCTTAAAGAACGATACCACGATGTCTCTCTAAACAACACAACCAGAATAGTCTTACATACTAAGACTCTACGTTGTACCCAGGGTGATTGCATCCACTACTCATCACCTCTCAACACACAAGAGTCATCATTAAAGTCTCCAAGAATACGATTCAAACTCGATAAATTCCCAGTCCAAACATGTTGACTGATAATCCCTTCGACTCTCTGACTGACGACTACAATGATATTCGGCAGGAGAGATGTATACTCTATACACAACAGTGGCGAGGTTGCAACTGTCACACCGTCGTATACGATCTCATCATAATATGTCTGCAGTATAAAGAAAAGGGCAACTACAGCTGTCGCGCAAGCCCAGACAAAAGAAGCCTCGTCCCACTCGTGATCGCGTAGAAGGAGCTTGCGACGCCCACAAATCAAATACTTTGAATTTCAAGCCACCGACACTGAAGCGGGAAGATACCTATGGGGGATCAAAATGAATATTACAGAAGATATGACTGGAAAGTAGACGGGGATTCAAACCATCAGGCTGAAAGGTTTGGCGTATGGTGTTGGAGACTTGGTGATCTTGACATGCCTGTGTTGATGTGCACACTCATTTTGTAGTCATACTCTCACCTCCATCGACTCTTCTCGATAGATCTTCGTAACCTATCCTTTGACTACAGCTTCGTGAAGAATCACACATCACTCACAATGGTAGGAGTAGAGTATAAGAACCAGCCAAAGAAGCGCCAGGATAACTATTCTCAGCACCACAACGCCACAGTTTCTACTCTTAGCAAAGATCCTACATCATAGAGTACAAGAATTCCATTGTCCATCGTTTTTCTAGTCAAAAATCCAGTCTCAAAGACACCAACGATTCGAATTCGTAAATTGTCAATCTTCAGCTCCAGACTCCACCACCATGTCAGTACAGCCGGGCTCAGTACCGCACAATATTCCTCCTTCACCACAACCACCACCACACTGTATCATATGGGTACAATATGCTACAGCTTGCGGCCACATAAAACTTCAGTATGAACCTCGAAGATTCTGTGAGACCTTCTACAAAGAAAGCCGCTGCCACTGCCAACCCAAGTACGAACCGCATCCAGACATACCACCTCACCTTGGTAGATGCTCCTTTAGTCCTATCACCGACAGCAGCCGGATTGATGAGTGGCAGAAGGACGAGAAGCCTGATAACGGCAGACCGAAGGATAATAAGACTATCGCACAGACCAACAGGATGATGGCTAATATGACGCTGCGCAGGTAGTGAGAACTTCTTTTTTGATGAGCTCGCTGGTATAGAAGTGGGCGCTTGGTGATTAACGATTCGTTTCTTTTCTTTTCCCTTTCTTTTATACTGTGTTATGCATTTACTGTTTTCAGAGAAGATGCTATATCCCCTTTGTTACATTTCAGTTACATACTATACTTTGGTGCATGTTTGGGTCAGGAGAAACATCGGACTTAGCCAGTTGTTGTGAATGTCTTTTTTGTATTGAATTGACTAGTTGTAAATACGTACCATGTTCATATCTTCACTTAATGCGTTAAAGATAACGCTATTGCTATGCTTTCTTGAGATATTTATCACATACCACCATCTCCCACCTACTCATCGTCAAAAACACGTTTTTCTAATCAAATCTCCTCCTCTTCATCCCGACTTCCAACCCCAGCGGCTTCCTCAAAAATCCCTCTCTAGTCTCCAACTCCCCCTGTCGAATCTCAAACTCATACCTCCTAAACACCGTCCCTACAATAAGTGCCAACTCCATCTCCGCAACATTCCTCCCCACACAGGCCCTCGGCCCATAGCTGAACGGGATAAAAGCCGCCTTTTGTTTTTCCGTGACATTCTCCCAGCGCTCAGGTCGAAACACATCTGCATCTTCGCCCCAGATCTCTGTGGAGTGGTGAATGGTGTATGCGGGGACGGAAAGGACCGTTCCTTGTGGAAAGTGGTGGCCTAGGAGCGTTACACCAGGGCCAGGAGGAATAAGGCGAGGAAGACCGAGTGAAGATGTGCTGTGGATACGCATTGTCTCTTTTATGACGGCGTCTAGGTAGGGTAGATCTTTGACCTGGGCGTAGCTTGGTACGGCATCTGCATCTGGCAAGGCGTCGTCTAGTTCTTTTTGTAGCTTACGGACGACATCTGGGTGCTGGAGACAGTGGTAGAGAAGGGCACAGGAGGTGTTGGACGTGGTGTCTGAGCCAGCGATTAGTTGGGTCAGGGCTTCGGCTGTGAGTTCTTCGCGGCCGAGTTTCTGGCCGCTTTCGTCGCGACCTTCCATTAGACGAGCCAAGAGGTCGACACGATCAGATGGTTTCTCGAGGCGTGCATTTACGCGCGCGATTGCTATGCCGGCGAGGTCTTCGATGGCCTTCATACCTTGGCTGAAGAAGGGGTCTGGGAGGTGTTTCGCGTAGGGCTTGATGGCAGGGAAACATCCGATGGTTCTAAATGATGTTAGTCACTAGGATCAGATATGTAGGATTGCAGAGCATGATTTAGACATACCCACTGACTTCTCCTCTTCGGTTCAACACTTCGATAGCGGGAGCATATGTGATTTGCCCCGCCTTGCTAACCTCTGCCTCATCCTTACCCTTGGCCAGCATACCGAATGGTTCCCCAAACGCCAAGTCTCCAATAACGTCGAAAGCCAGGTAGTTGAACCAGTGGAGCGCATCCATATGATACCATTCTCCCTTCTTCTCAGCACTTTCCGCCCTTCGATCCCACTGCTTCTGCAGTTCCTCAAGGTTATGATGAATATACTGCTCAAACTGCAACACACTCTTGGCAGAAAAGGTGTGAGATACCGTCTTTCTCTTTCTCGTATGTTCCGCACGATCCCTCGTGTTGAACAAACCACGCCTGATCGACACAAAGGCATCATAGTACTCGCTCTTTAGGAACCCATTGCCATGACCGTAGATCTGAGGAATAGCGTCCGCATCCGCAATACTGACATGATGTGGTTGAAGGCGAACGAGCTTTCCGTATTTCTTGTGTGCTTCATGAACAGCGAGATAACGTTTCCCACGCCGACATTGGTATAAGAGCCAGAGGTTTGTCCAGGCCGCTGGAAATGGAGCTGGGATGTCGCGGATCTGCCAGTTACGAAGGTAAGGAAGGATGTAGAAGATGACCGGGAGGAGGAGGATCGAATAGGGAGTTAGTAGGAGCGTTGTTAAAGACATCTTAGGCGATCGTGAGAGAGCCGGAAGAAAGAAAGGAAGAGGATCTGAGCTCTTTATCCGAATAGAACTACTTTCGCAGTAGCACCGAGCCCAGCGTACTTCGTCGAATCTCGTACAATCGATGGAATGACTCGCCTTTAACCTCCTCTTCAACGTTTAGACACAGCCCTCTTATAGTCCCATGCCAGTGTTTCTCTACGCCCAGGGCTCACACGTGCGCTATGTTTCCCCACGCCAACACGAGACAAGCAGACGTCAGAACCATCTCGACTCCATCAGCAAAATCCCCTAATTGACCAATCGCACGCCTCCAAAAACCATTCCACCTAGCCGTGTCGAAGGTCCGAAGGTCTCCAAGCCGGAACGCTCTGGCGCTTGACCCCGCCTTCCTCTAGTGCGCCGAAGGTTCCCCGCGACGAAGCCATCGTCATCGGGAAGGCGACGCCAAGCAGCACCGTAGCCGACGAGGTGGATCATTGTCCGAGAGTTGTGCGTTGAATGTTCGATGCCTCTGTTTCGGCGTGAGAAGACGGTTGTGAGATGTTAGATGGTGGAACCTCGTCGTTACCGATGTCTCTGCCGTGTGTTTGATGCGGTGTCACGTCGGAAAATAGTGAAAATGCGCCGAGGATGGTCAGACAGATATCCCGCGGTCATGCTTAATTTAGCATCTGAGCAACCGAAATCTAACCACAAAACTATCAACATATCCATGAGCATATGTCACATTGATCGAGAAGACAAAACATTTTCATGGGGGTATTACATTAAGAAACAACGCTATCTACCTTAACGTCCTCCCGCTACAAATGTTCCATCAAAAGAGTCAGACAGGTAGAAGGTACCGCCTACTCATACAGCAAAACGCCTTGTGGTATCATGCCTTCGACCATCCATCAATGTATCGTTATCCTAGCGTGTATATCATCCACCAACACGTTACTTAGTTGTTGTCATCATCGTCTGAGAAGAAGTTTAAGATGGCCTTGACCGCCATAGGGCCCAGCCCATGGGGTGGGTAACAGATGTAGCTTGGGTCATCGACTGCACCCAGCTTCTCACGAAACTCGGTCTTGTTTGTGAGCTTGAGCTCGGTCGCGATGGCGTGGTATGCGCGGCTGAGCACCTTGACACGAGTGCCCTTGACGTTGTGTCCCGGGCTGAACTTCGAGCTAGCACCACCACCAAAGGTGACGCTGGTCGCACCACTGGCGGCGACTTGCTTGAGAGCATGTGTGACGATGTACTCAATCGAACCACCCGGTGCGCCGGGGAAATCGAGCGAGTACTTGACCTGCCAGCCATGATCAGGTGAGAGTTGAGCCATTGCGACGAACGCGGCGATGGTACCATCAGGCGTGTAGGCAATGTGATATTGACGGTGCTCCTCATCTTGCCATGGGTGAATGTTGGTAAGATGGACCTGCTTGCCCTTGCGGTTGTTCAACCAGTCTGATACACGGGCATCAACCTTCTGCTTGACATCTGCCGGTGGTGGTGCACCGAGAGCGTAATCACTGATCTTGACACCTTCCTTTTCTGCGTGACGGATCTTGCGCTGAACGTCAGAGTCCTTATCCGCAGGGTTGTGAACTGGGTCTACACGCTGCTCTCCAGTAACGGAGAATGTGCGCCAGTTGAACTTGGTTGCGAGAACCTCTTCTGTGGCAGCTCCCACAAGAAGCCAGAGCGGCTTGAGGTTGCGCTCCTTCTTGATATACTTGAGATAACCAGCCATGGTCTTGAGATATTGAGACTCGTGGCAAAGAGGGTCACCAACAGTAATGGCGAAACCATCCTGAGGTACGAAGCCAACAGCTGCACCAGTGTTCTCGTCGCGCCAGATCTCTGTGCGAGGCTCCAGCCACGAGGTGTTCGTGGCATCACCGTAGTTGGCGATAAGCTTCTCGATAGGCTGTAGATCGATCTTGGCAACAGCACGATCCTGGCCTTCCCACGGAGGATGCATAGTGCTTGCCTCTGGATGACGCAGCTGCTTGACGACCGGCCGCTCCGGTAAACTCTTGGGGTCGCGAGGGAACATAGAAGCATGACGGATGTTTCCGAGGTTCATCATCAACATGAGAATACGCTCAAGACCAATACCACCACCACCGTGGGGCGGTGCTCCCCACTGGAAGCCCTGGATATACTCCTCCATGGAGCCAGGGTCAACCTTGAGCTTACGCATCTTCTCTAAGAGCAGGTTAGAGTCATGAATACGCTGACCACCACTGAGAATCTCCTGGCCTCTGCAGAAGATATCGAAAGAGTTGGTAACAGTAGGGTCGTTGGGGTCGTTCATGGCGTAGAATGGGCGCGCGTTGGCTGGGAACTTGTCTAGGATGTAGTAGTCGGTTCCGAGCTTCTGCTTGATGACACGACCAAGTTGCACCTCATCTCTGGTGCCTAGATCCTCGTTCACGTCAAGTTCGTTGCCATCGTCATCCCTCCAGCCAGACTCGTTTAGCATACGAACACCGTCAGCGAAGGGAATGATAGGTGTCTGGTCCAGCCAGACAAGGTCTTCGTGTGGAAAGTGCTTCTTGATGACCTCAATCTCAGGACGGTATTGCTCGTAGATGCCCTTGAAAATGGCCTTGAAGGTGCGGTCCAATACACGGAGGACTTCGTGGTAGTGCTCGTCAATCTGCATCTCCAGATCGAGGCCAGTGTACTCGGTCAAATGACGGTAGGTGTTACTGTTCTCGGCACGGAAGACGGCACCAATCTCGTACACCTTGCCAAAGTCTGCGGAAATGGCCATTTGCTTGGCCAATTGAGGACTCTGTGCAAGGAACGCGCCACGACCGAAGTAGTCGATCTTGAACACGCTGGCACCCGACTCAGTGGCACCGCCCTGCAGCTTGGGAGTGTGGATCTCGATAAAACCTTCCGAGTCGAGCTGATTACGGAAGAGTCTGCAGATACCGGACTGAATGCGGAAGATACCCTGAGAAGCTGTTGTCCTCAGATCGATAACGCGGTTGTTCAAGCGTGTACGGTCTGCAATCTTGACACGTGTATGGCCTTCCTTGTGGTCTCCCTGTGCCAGTTCGGCATCGACCTCAGCCTGCGAGACCTCGGCCTCGTTGACATTGAAGGGAAGGTGGTCTGTGACGGCAGCTTCAACATGTAGGGCGTGGACGGAAACCTCGACGTCGTGAATGGTGGCACCGAGAACCTCGCCCTGCTTGGCCTTGGGCTCCTGCAGGATACCCTTGACCAGGACAATGGTCTCAGCGTCCAGGTGCTCAGCCCAGTACAGCATGTATTTTGAAATGTCGGCGTGCTCCAAGAGGACACCCTGGATGGTAGCGAGCTGTTGGCGGAACATCAAGAAGACGAACTTGGAGCTCATCTTCCTGAGGTGGTGGATACGAGCACGGAAGACAACCTCCTTGCCGACGTCCTTTGCAGAGAAGTCCTGGATCTTGTGGCGGGGCTCATGCTTCCACTCTCCCGAGTAGGAGTTGGGGTGGATGACACCGTACTTGGACCTCTGCTCCGGGGTCAACTCAGCCAGGGCTTGTTGCTCCATCTCCTTCCTCCTGCGCTCCAGCTCTTGCTCCTTCTCCAAGTTCTGCTTGTGGCGCTCCTCCTGCTGTGCCTGCTTCTCGTGTTTGCGCAGTTGGCCACGAGACATGGGCTCACCTTCGCGGTTGAGGGGAGCATCTTCGTCGCTCGAGTCGTTGCCAATGTGCAGCTTCTCCTTGACGGCTCGCATGGGGCTGTGGGTGGAGAGGGAGCCGGAGCGCTGGTGGCTGGATCCGGACTTGTTGGTGCCAGTGCGGTTCGGGCTCTCGGTGCGGCGGTGGAGGATGCCGCTGAGCGAGCCGCGGGGCTGGTCGATGCTGGTCCTGCTGTCGGTGGGAGATGCAACGTCTCCACGTTTGTGCTCGCCGCTTGGTCGGGAGCCACCTAGGGTTACGGAAGAGCGCGGCGTTGCGGCAGGCGACTGAGCGCGGCCATTGACGGAAGTGGGCGACTTGACGCCGCTGCTCTTCTCATCGTCCGAGGCCGACGACCCGTGGTGTCCGGGCTTTAGCTTCTCAAGCGCTTTCTTGAGGGAACTCATCGTGGCGGTGGTGCGAGAGCTTTGCCCGTGTTGTGCGTGGTTAGACTACCTGAGCGCAGAGTGGGGGCAAGCAGACGCGGGGGAATGCTCTTGCTGACGGGGGGGATGTGGAAGGTGTCTCTGGGCAAGGGAAAAAACAATTGCTATGGATATGCCAGCAAAGCCGAGGAGGCGCGAGTCTAACTATATCGTGGCTGGGAACGGCCTCTGGCGTGGTTGCCGATGCGAAGGTGAACGGGATATGACGTGACCCCCCAGTATTTTGGCTACTGCAAAGGCAGCGTTTCACTTCAAGCCCTTCCTAGCGCCGAGCCAGTGCGCGATATCACCCGTGCGCACCCGTGACGTAGATGCTTGGGGATTGATCCGCTCTAGACCTTTGCCTGCTTGCAAGAGACGCCCTGAAAACCCGCGGAGGCCGAAGGCAGTAGGGGAGGTTAGCAGGCAGAAGACATGGGCCATGGAGGGGTCAGTCGCTGTTATCACCACAACCATTCCGGCTGCTTTCATAGCAAAAGCTCAACAAGCCAGAGACGCAATAACTATGTGGATTCTGACAGGCTAGACAGGCCGCATGCACTGCTCTTTGTCTTCGCTGACGCATCCCGCACCTCTCTCCCAATCGGTAAAGCTTCTGTCTACGCCTATCTCTTTGCAGCAGAGCGAGTACTTGTATAGGCAATGAGATGCGAAGCTTTTCGAGCCAAGATCTTCAAGGCTGTCTTACCAGTCCACTCCAGCCACAGGCTGGGGTCTTGTCAGCATCGAGAGCGGGCGATTGGGACACGCAGAGCCATCAGTCATGCTTCAGCTCGTGCTTCGGCCGCTCGGAGCTGGTGACTACGACATGTGAATGATTAGTATAAGGAAGAATTCTTGGCTCATGCTTGACTTGCCCTTCCGGCGGCGTGTCGGGTGAAACCGAGCCTAGTCGCTCCGATGGGGTTGATGGGTTTTGGCGAGTCGCATGGCATTCTGCCGGATGCGCATGAGCAGGCCTTGGAATTGCACATCCAACGACCAACTATCTGCAGCGACCCTGACATTTCTTTGCAACACCATATTTCCCTGAAAAACCTGTTGCTCTGCCGCCGCGTCACAAAGGGGGCGGCAACCATTGCGAAAGCGAGATGAGTACCCAAGAATAACCGACAGCATCGACGATCGTTATGCGCAATAACAAGTTCTTGCCAGGCACGCCGTGTTCCTGGAGATCGCATTTCAGCATGCAAATCACTCAGCCCACTGCCGATATCCGCCTTTTCTCCCCCCACCATGACTTCTGCCGGCACATGGAATTCAGGGAAAGCGGGTTTTCACTTGAACTCATGTGCCACCCTACGCTTGGACTACGATGGTTGTTGTCTCAGCTATACTGTTAGACAGCTTTGGAGCGGCAGGTCCAGTCGTTCAACAACAGGATCTCGCCCTAATTAAGGGCGTCCCCACAAGCGAGATTTCGTCTCGCACGTGTCGTGTTATGGTGTCATAGCCTACAGATGGGTTGCCACGCCCACTCATACTACGCCTAGATGGTACTGGCAGTCCCTCGTTTCCAGGACGCCACACTCTCTCTCTCTCTTCCCTCACGTATACGACAAGTTCGTATTCCAAATTGATGCTACGAGATGCGCTCTCTTTGTAACCGTCTAGCTGATTTTGCTTCGCAGATACCATCTTCAGCATAGGAAGTCTGGAAAAATAGCGGCTTAACATGAGCACAACATGAGAAAGTAGAAACGACCGTATTATTGTTCTGCATAGGTACTTGTATACACAAACCGTCTTACCCCCGGAGACGCCCACTGGATACCCACAAACCTAATGCCATGCTTTGTTTTCTACGACTTACCCAACACCCAAAGCTCTCCGTTGCTGCTCGTATCACTCGTCATGAACAGCCTTCCTTGGGAATCCCAAGCCAAACCTGCAGGTCTGAAGCAACCCGAGCTAAAACTTGGTCCATTGCCCTGGCACTTCTCCACAGCCGGATTGTAGAATATGTCCTTGGCAGCTGTAGTACTAGTCAAAGGCTCAACTGGCGTATAATTCCCATCAGTACCAACTTTAAATTGCACGGCGACAAGCTTGAAACCGGTAACGGGATTGCGGTTCCAGCTACCGTGGTAAGTGATGTACATGGTGGTGCTGTCGGCATCGAACTTGCAATCGATGGGTGCGGAGTGCGGGAATAACGTCAGCTTAGGAGGTGTGGCCTTTTGAACACAGGTGTCATCGTTCATGCTCGTGCTTGGTTGTTGGACGAAGAAGTCGCCGACTTTGAATGTCTTGTCGGTGAAGTCACTGGGTTTCCAGACGGTAAAGCAGGATGGGTAGCCGTACCAGTTTTCATTGGGTTTGGTGACGTCTCCCATATAGTGGATCTTCTCGCCGGGGTTGTCTTGGTGTATGTCTTTTCCGTTACGCTTGAAGTCGTCGCCGCTGTTCTCTACGCCCCAAAGCCTGTTACAATCATTAGTTCTCAACGCACATACTTCACCATGAGTGGTGCTTACATGTTGTTCTTGTCAAAGCAGATTCCCACGTCATTACGTTGTCCATATCCAGCGTTGTATCCGCCAGATACATAATTATACCCTCCGCTAGGGACCTTTGACAAGTCGAACACCTTGATGATGGCGCGGCCAGTCTTGGGATCCGACGTAGCAGAGTCGATATTTGCGTTGGATCCATGGGAGACCACCAGCAAGTTCGGGTTCTGTGGCGCAATGGCAAGAGTACGAGTTAGATGGGAGCCGCCATTGTACATGCCGGTGATGATAGTCGCTCTAGTACCCAGTGTACCCGCAGCGGCATCGTATGGCCAAGAATAAGCTTGGGTCATGGAGCTCGCATACAGCGTCTTGCCGTCAGGACTCATTGCGATACCATGGTTCAGGTTGTTCTGCGAGACCAGCATCTTGGTGGAAGTGATGCAACCGTCTGTGCCCATCTTATGGTACGAGATACCCTTGCCAGATTGGACGACCAACATATTCCCAGCACTATCAAATTGAATGCTGCGAGGGCTGGTCAAGCCTCCAGCAATCTTCGTGGCCTTCCATCCAGCCGCAAGACTGCCCTGGAATGCAGGGTTGCCAGCGCCGGAGCACGAGGCTGGGATGGCAGCAGGCGCTGCTGGCTTTAACGTCGCAGATGCAGACGGTACGACGCTTGTCACGACAGTGGTCGGAGCAGCGGAAGGTGTGGCTACAGGCGCCGTCAGCAGGTTAGTCTTGACCAAAGAATCGAAATCATCGATGCGGGCAGCGTCCAGGTTGTGGATCCATTTTCCCCAGGCCTGGTGGACATTGAAAGCGGAATCGTTTCGGGAAGAATCCTCGACCGAAGAGACACCGTAAGCCCAGGCGAACTCTGTTGTACTAGTACCATTGAGCGCATATCTTGTGTCTTCGCTGTTTTGCCATCCAGTGCAGCCTTTGCATAGCGCATTGACTGTCCAGTGCGTTGCATTTGTTTTTGTGCCTTTGAGGTATGTATGCTCGGCTCCATCGTACCCCTGCGGCAAGCCAATACTGCTGTGTTGAGTCAGTAACGTGCTCGTAAACCTTGGAGATACGACATACAAAGCGAAGCGAGCAGAGATAGTCCCAGATTGACCATTAGGCCAAGCAACGCTCAACGGGTTCCAGACCATAGTACCTCCCCACGAGAAACCGACCCATTGGTTGGCGATCGGTGCGGTGATCCTAATGATGGCATCATACGGGTCCGTAACATTCTTTGGAAGAGCAACACCAAATGACATCCCTGTTTCTGGCTCCGTGTACGACGAATAACTGATCTTCGTTTCTGAATCGTAGACAACAGTAGACTGTGCCTCACCTTCTTGAGCAAGAGCTTCATCAATGTCAGTATAGTCCGTTCACTTGAAGACCACACTGACCATAACCGCCAAGTGCAGCAGCACTGCCAAGAATCTGAGTGTAACGCATAATGGTGGGTTCCGTGGCTAGGTGGCACGTATCTAGATGTTTGTAGCTGCCACTCGGGAGGCCTTGTCCAACTCTTTATGCAACCACATCCAACATCCATCGTGGTAATAGACGAGGCAGCGAGCCACGCCGGGACTTACTTCGATCTCCTCAATGTGTAATCTGTCTTCAATCTTCTTGTATGTGTTAAATGAAAATGTTGGAGAAGGACTGGAGAAGCCATATTGAACTGCCAATCAACGGACTCGGAGCTGCGATCTATGACGGACTGGGATACATAACTGTGGTCGCTATGTATCTTTTGAACATTCGGACGAGTTTCAGCCTGAGTTTACTGCTGGAAAAGGTAGGCTGATAGTCGAGAATCTCATTCCGATGTAGTACAATTGGTTGACGAAACTCTGCGCTATCAATTTTGATGAGCTTGAACCGCATTGTGACCCGGAATAATACTCGCGATAGTCAGTGTTCGTTCATGCGGTGCTACTGAATGGCGCTAAAACTCGACAAATCCTAGGCAAACGACGGCAGTTGACACGCGAAGCTGGACTGGGGTCTTAAATTGGTGGGGAGTTTTCTTGATGTTGCTTCAACGTTGAATGGTAGGTATTGCATTCTTCCAAATAACCCGGGGCCTCTAGCGACACGGCGTTGTGGGGAGCCTGTCAGAACGTCCGAATTTTTGGAGAATGGAACGACCGCCAACGCCAACTTAATATCCAACATGTGGAAGCCGCACGTGGCTAGGGCAAAGTAGACTGTTATCATCAGGTCGCTGACAGGCGTTTTCCGACTCTTCCTACTCGAGGTACACTAGAAGACGTCTGTATTCTGGGGGTACAGCCAGTTGCATTGTTTGGTGACTCTGTTTGTGCAACGTTAGCCGTTCCAAAGTAAACATTGGCGCTTGGGATTCCGTTTTGCATCCAGTTAAGATTTGTTTATGGACATGGTATGATAATATACGGTTCTTAGCACGACGCACTCCCTTCTCTTTGGTTGCTGCTTCGCAGACTTTATACGCGTTTGTTCATGTACGCATTGCCGAATGTCCACAGACCGAATGTAGCCAGAATGCTCAGTCCAATGGGAAGCGGCTTGCCGGACTTGATCGCGCGAGGAATTGAGCTACCCGCAAGAATGACAGAAGCGAGAAGAGCCAACTCGACACCGTAGGCTGCGCGGCTGTTGACGCGATAGCCACCGAGCATATACTGTTGCCTACGTTAGACGGGCTAGAAGTGATAAGTAGTAGGATCGGCGCATACCAGAAGTCCAACAGTACATCCAGCTGCGATTGATGGCACGGAGCCAGTCCTCACGTAACCGGTGATACCGCCACCAGCAGTAAGAGCACCAAGGATGAGAGCGATGTTTCCTAGAGACTTGATTGTCCAGTCAGCATGCATCCATTTACATCATGACTCGTGTATAACAGCGATTGGTGGTGTTGCTCACCATTGTCACGTTGCTCTTTACTATGTGGTTTTTCAAGTGATACAGTGAAGTCTGGGTAAAGGCGTCAATATTTGAAGGACGAAAAAACAAACTGAAGCAGTAGAAGTTTCTCGTCGGATGCTTGGAGATGGCTGGGCCAAGTGAATGATGGCATTTGCGGCGGGGATTCGCGGACAGCCGAAGAAACCGACGCCGACTCGTAATCCCCAGCTTGGACCAACCACGAACATGTGGCCTCAAGCTATCCACCACGGGCATCACCACCGCGCGTCATCTTCAATATCCCCTAAACGCCCACCACTCGACGTTTACCGTTGAAGCTCCCCGACAATGGCCCCGAAACAGCGCACCACTGCCTCGGCTGACGCTCCTTCCACAACCACCAGTGCCCCGGCACCCGTACGATCAACCAAAGCCAAAGCAAACAACACAGACGCAGCAGCCATTGCGCAAGGAATATGGGATAAATACGTCTCCAAGACACCCCAGCGAACAAAGCTCCTCGACACCTTCCTTGCATTCCTCGTTATCGTCGGTGCTCTACAATTCCTCTATGTAGTCTTGGTTGGAAACTTTGTACGTTGTCTCTTGTCCCTGCTTCCCAACGTCCTACATCACGCATGTAAAGGTACAGAATAGGAACCGTTGGCTAACAATCTCCGATAGCCCTTCAACGCTTTCCTTTCCGGCTTCAGCGCAACAGTCGGTCAATTCGTCCTCACAGCCTCTCTGCGCATCCAGACAAACTCGGAGAACAAGGTGCACTTTGAGAACATATCGCATGAGCGGGCTTTTGCAGACTTCATCCTTGGCAGCTTGCTACTGCACTTCTTCTGTGTGAACTTTATTAACTGAGCGGGAAGCACAGGGAAGGGTTGCAAGAGAGTCCTAATACGAAGCAGAGTGGAAGTGGAACCTGCCTGTCTGTCGGTATCAAGGCGTTGCGCAATGTACTAAAGGGTTCATAAAAGGAAAGCCTAGGGATCGAATATCTGTAAGAGTACTAGAGATATGGACGAGGCGTGGACAGCCTTGGTTTCGGCAGTGACATGTATGCTGAAAGAATCATCCTGCTATACTCCGAAACAATTACCACCGAGTCAATGCAACACCACAACCGCTCAAGTCAATTCCCATCTCAATTTCCCATCAAGTCTCCCTAGCATACATAACCAACCCAAACTCCTCCCTAACCGCCTCCCCTAATCGCCTGATCCCCTCCTCGATTTTCTCCCCTGGCGCCGCCGCATACGTAGCCCTGAAAAACAACGTATCATGCTTCTCATCCGCATCCGCATAGAACCAGCTGCCCCTCATAACTAACGCCCCATGGTCAATAACGCGCATAAAGATACTCTCCTCAATGCTCTCAATGCTCTTCTCGGGATAACTGGGATGTTTTCTGAAATCAATTTGCATCCAGTGGAACATGCCAGCCATGGGTGGTTTCCAGCTCATAACTTCAGTGGGTAAGTACTTTGTGCATGCGGAAAGGATGATGTCCCGACGGTGTGTGTATTGCATGCGCATGTAGATCAGCCAGTCCAGGTACCCGGCGTGGCCCCAGTGTTCATCTAGGAGCTTGAAGAGAATAAGTTGGGACATGCCGGCCGGGTTCTGCGTCGATACATCAGCATATTTGGAATACCGTTCTATGACTTCGGCGGGGGCAGTGATCCATCCGATTCGCGAACCAGGCGCGATGACCTTGGAGAACGAGTCCATGCGGATTACGCGGCCGTCTGTGTCGATGGAGAGGTAGCTTGGAACGAGGGATTTGATGAAGTCTGCGTGGGATGCCGGTGGAGGGATGGCAGGGGCGTTGGCGCCGGTGTAGGGTTGCATCTGGAGGAAGTAGTATGGTTCGTCTTCTAGAATGTGGATGTCGTGCTTTTGGCAGACAGCATAGAGGGCATGCCGGCGCTCTGCGCTTTGTGTTGCTCCGGTAGGGTTCTGACCTGTGGGCACTGTGTATATGAGATGGGGCTTCCGCGCCCCTCGAGCAGCTTGGTCCCAGTTTGTGAGGAGCGAGTCCATCTCAGTGGGAAGAAGTCCTTGGTTGTCGATTGGGACGCCGCAAACACGTACGCCCAACGGTCGCGCGGTCTCTACAAAAGCAGAGAAAGTGTACTCTTCTGATAGAATCATGTCACCAGGTCTGGTGAACATTCTAAGGAGCATATCAGTCGCTGATGTGCTTCCAACTGTCATGGTGCATTTCCAGTCTTGGTACGGCGGATCGTGTATCAGTTCGGTGTGTTCAGTCATGAAGCGTAGAAGCTGTGCTGAACCAGATCCCTGGCCGTAATTGAATGCAGTAGCGATGTCAAAATTGGACTTGTTCTCAGCAAGGTCATGTTTGCCTGCAGTGATGGTCACGCCGGATTCCCTAGTTTCGGTTTCCGAGAAGTGGCCGATCTTGGGCACTTTGATCGATAGCTCTTCGAAGGGAAAGTACTCGCTGGATGGTAAACCGCCGCCGAGGGAGATGATTCCAGGTGTGCCGAGATACTTTGCGGCCTCTTTAAGAGAGTTGCCTTTGCGGATCGTTGCTTCATGGCTCATGATGTCTAGAAAGGCATAGTTAGCGTTTGGCTCGTCGTGAAGACTGACTTGAAGTGGGAAGAACGTACGGCTCCATTGCTTGGCTTTTGGCTTGTGGTCATGCGATTTCAGTCTGAAATTTGCAGTATCCGATGGCGCCGCTACGCCCCATTGAGCTGCAGTTGTCTTCTTCCTCCTTCCATGAATTTCATTGCTCTGAACTGGCGCACTCAGCGGGTTCGGGATAGTAACTCCAGACGTGTCTGAAACTGCTGATACTTCGACAGCTGAAGGTGGTGACATCTTTGACGGGAGGTTGATGGTGGGAGTAATCTGGACCTCGTTTGTCCAACGTTTTCTTTGTTTCCTGTCTTCCAGACCTTAGTACAGCTTACCAAGGACTTAGCAACGACCTTGAAAGCTGATGAATTATTTGAGTGTAGTAGAAGTTGATTGTTTGAGATATTCAAGTCTTAAACTTCACTCGGTCGAACTAAGCTATCAGCTATCGGTTATCATACGCCCTACATATGTAGTCTAAGGCGTGTAGGTGGAGCCGCGAACGTGCACCTGCATCATGCCTACCATTTCGGGTAGCGGTTAGCCACGGTCTGGGGAAAGCAAAGCGTGCGACTCCACAACACGTGCCAAAGCCATACAGACAGCTGCGTGTTACAAACTTCACGCCCTTTGCTTGTACATTGTTTGCCGCACACGATCCCTCTGATGTGGCCTGAAACGCAGTCGAAGCCGATCGTTGTGAAGAGTGGTCCATGGGAATTGGGTACCGAGCGTATCGTATAGAGCGGACACGAACGGACTGTTGTGAGGTTGAAGCTACGTAAGGTGCTGCAGGAATTGACCAATCGGCGCTTTTATGACAACTACGTTATCACGAGATGCGTTCATGGCAACAAAGCCGTCGACACCCGTGCTGAACACACATCTGATCTTACATACTCGGGTTCTAGAAGTTTTAGTCTGCGCTAAATAAGGGT